TCAGGGAGAGCCTTGTCTCTGTGCCACTGTGTGGCACACATCATGGTGGGCTGGCAGTCACAGGTACCTCGTTCCTGTTGCACCTTCCCCGCACTGCCCATCCTTTTCTCAGTGCATGGTGTTAGAAGATCTCTGTATTAAGGGAATCCAATTGCCGCAAGTTTGGCTCTGCCATCCCCAGTACTCCATCAGGTAAGGGACTTAGAGAAGATGGCTGGTTTATCACAGAGGGGATATGGAAGAGACTCAGTAACTTCCATTTCTGTTCGCTCGGGATACTTAGCAGTGCCTCAGGTGCTTTGTCCATGTCATTTCTTGGAAGTGAGGAAGCCTCAGGAAGACTCTAGCTTCTGAAGACACCAACAAAGGCCTCTCCTTTCCCAGCATAGTTATTGAAGGCCAATAGAAGGTTTGGAGACAATATGTTTAATACTGCTGGCTGCAAGCAAATTGTGCTTGAGATGAGTGCCCTGTAGCAGTGTCTATGCTGCTGTGAACTAGGAGTATTCCATAGTGATCCTCTTTTCCCAGCTTGTGCAGCTCCAGCTTCTCTCATGTCAGAGACAGCCAGTGATCCTTTTGCAGGGCTGCAAGTCTAGGCACCTTTGTGAAGCATCAAAATAAAAGGCAGTGCATTTGACAGGTTGTGTAAGGCCTTGGTTTTGCAAGTTATTTTTAATTCTCTACCCAAATGGAGTATAGTCTGACCCATTATACATATGCCAGCTCCTAAGCTTAAATTCTGTGTGCTGATGCTCATCCCTTGGCCATTAGCCCAAACAGCTGCTGTCATCAAAATGAAAGCTTGTTCAACTGTTTGGCTGCTTCTTACGGTTTCCAGAACTATCATGGGGTGAGCTTTCTGTGGTCAAAAGAATACTGACTGGAGGTGATGTTCTTCATGAGCCCTCTTCTGTGCTGTGAAGGATTTGGACCAGACGGTATCTGAACCTGGTGGCTGAAAATATCAGAGATGGGCAGAGATTAAAGAAGTGAATCCCAAAGCTATGGAAGCAAAAGCTGAGTTTTCATTATTGGTTGTGCTCTAAAATAGGATAATTTGGGCAGCTGCAACAAAAGTCTGGTGTAAGTAATACAAATGACTTAAATAAGCACATTTCTGAGAGGCAGAATTAAAGGAATGCAAAGGCACTGAAACCTGAGTCCCCAGTCTAAATGTGAGCTTTGTGTAAGTCCCATAAAGCATAATCCCCATATGGAGCCATGTGAGGCATGTTGGTTGTACATTTAGCATCTCATAAAAACAAAATCTGTGCTGTGTTTCTCAACAGTGTTTCTTCATGTAATAAATACTCTGTGTGGCTACTGCACTTACTTTAAATGCCTTTGTAATTTTAGTTTCTATCTTAAGTATCTATAAGTGGCTATCTTGCTCCAACTGTCCCTCATGTTCTCTGTGTACCCATCACTTGCTCACCATGACCTATGAAGTGCAGGCACTACTTGTGCTATGAGTTCTCTGTTAATTGCAGTGGGAATGATGCTATACATCGTGCAGGGCCAGGCATGTGTATGAGTATGTGTTTCAATTATAGATCTCTTGGGATCTACTGCAAACATTTCTTGTGCCTGGAAGTTGCTGGAAAATAATGAAAAGTATTAAAGCTTTTGTCCTTAAAAATGTGTAAGCATCAGAGAATGTTACTTAGAATATTTTTGGATGTATTAACTGCCCCTTGCAGTGATGTGGGGAGGTGTGTGTGTCTGGTTGCAGGGCATGTGGAGGGAAGTCAGTAGCCAGACAACCTATCAGAGCAGTGCTTGGAACACTTCATATTCAAAAGCAAAGCTCCGAGCCTTCATGATCTGAGATGAAGGCTGAAGCCTGTGTCGCAGCTCGGGTATATACCCAGAGCCCTCCTTTTCCAAATATACTCCATGAGTGCGTATTGATGCCCTCAGCTCTGCCCAGGTGTCTTTGGTGACCACTGTGTGTTCTGCCAGGTGTCCTTCCCGTGGCAGCCATGTGTGCTCCCAGCTCCTTCAGAGGGATGCGTGTGGCCGCAGATGCGTTATCCACAGCTGAGCCTGCAAAATGCCATGCCTGCTTGCGTCGACATCCAAACAAGTCTGGACGTTGTGACAAAACGCAGGAAGACCAATTCTGCTTTAGGTTGATACTTTATCTTACAGGAATATGTTCACTGTTGCTTTACTGAACTGAAGAGGATCACTTAATCTTTCTAGCTAATTCTTTTTCACTGAAAATCAAGAATGTGTCTGTGTTCTAACACTCGTTATGGCTCTTTAGTGAGGATTCGATGCTTAGTGTTTATTCCAAGTGATGCTCCAGCTCAGTAAGTTGTGCCAGGTCCATGCTGATGCTGAGAGCCAGACCCAAGCCTGTATGGAAGGTAATGAGTGGTAATTGCTAAATCACTGTAATGAGAGCAGTGTCGTGTGAGGAGATGCAGCACTGCTGCCCAGTGCTTCCAGCTGCCCTGTGCCTTGTCCCGTGCTTGCTTTGTAGGGCTGTTGCTTGGTGCTGCTTTGGTACAGGCTGCTGTCCTGGTGGATCCCTGCTCACCTCACCTCTTGCTTCTGCTCCCTTGGTGTTGCATACAGGATGGCTGCAGCATCAGCTGTGGACATATTGTGTCTCTGACCCACTTGGGCCATACTACACACAAAGGCTGTAGTTCTTGCTGCTCTGGGTCCTTACCTGGCTGCTGTGGCAGAGCTTACGTTGTATTTAATTTCTGCACTGCTAGGAGGGCAATGCACGCTTTTGTCTGTGTGCTTGCTGTGTTTGTGGTGCAATATACTGCAAATTTAGAAAGCTGTCAGCCACTCAAAACTCAGGTAGTTGGGGTGTCCTGCATGGAGTTGTTTCTGTGGGTATGTCCCAGGTTATCACTGGGAACTTCTGGTGTCTTTTTTCCTCAGTTTGTTTGTGTGGCTGCTTGGAAGGCTTTGCTGCATGTTTCTGATGCACAAATCGTGACTAATGTGTTTGTACAATTGTTCGCAGCAAAACCCAACTGTTTTGTGAGAATCACCAATTATAAAAACGATTTGGAAATGCTTGAGAATATCCTGATTAGCAGTTGCAGGGAAGGGAAAAGGCTCCCCAGCGGCGGGGACAGACCATGCCCAGCAGCAGGGACACGCGGCTCACAGTGCCACGAGACAGACGGGCAGGGAGGATGGTGCCTTCCGAAGGAGACATCTGGAGCTCGCATCTTCTACCCCGAGCTATTTCCTTGCCCTCTGCGCCCTTCTGCACTCCGCCTCAGTGAGATCACTGCTTTCCCTTTCAGAACCCAGGCTTCATAGCTTTTCTGGCTTGTGGGAAGGTCAGGGAATTCCGTGAAGTCAGCGGTAAAGCGTGAAGCCGATCGAATGAACTCTCTGGAATTAGAAACCTTACCGATCGTGCAAGAAACGCTCCGTGAGAGGCCGGCACAAGGGCCCGTCTCGCACAGCGGCGGCCGCTCTGTGAAGCAGCGCTGGGGCCGGGCGCCACCGCGCGGCGCTGCGGGGCGCGGTTCGCGGTTCTCGCTGTGCGGCTGCCGGAGCGCCCTGCCGGCCTCGGCTCCCGTCGTTGTGCGGGTGCCCGATGGACGCCGTCTGCTGCGTTCTGCCCGCTGGGGCTGCCTCGTGCAGAGCCCTGACTTGAGAGTGCGGTACGGGTGAAGTTCGTGATTAATTGTGGAGTTGGTGAAAGGGTTAACGAGAATGAGTAAAGTCGGGCTGGAAAGCAGATGGGAGAGTCCTTACTGGGGAGAGGGGGAAGGAAATGCTTCTCTCTGAGAAGCTGTGTGAGCTGAGCTGGGTCTGATGGCTCCTGCACGACACAAGTACCGCTCGGTGATTTCTTCTGCTCTGGAGAGCATGATGAGGTACACCCACAGGAGTGAATCCCCACTTTTTATTCCCCAATTTTGATATATAAGAAAACTAGGAAGACAAAATAGTTGTGAAAAATTGACAATGACTCTTCTGTCCTAGCCCCACCTGAGGTAGAATGGAAAGCAGTATATTACTCCTGGCCAAACGGAGTGGTGAATCAGTGTGTTTACTGCTGTTGTATGCACCTCCCTTGTATGAGACATTTGCACAGAGTGTCAGGAGTGAAACCACTTAAAACAAATACATTTATAGACAGCACTGCTCCATGTGACTTGTTGGCCCTGTGAGCCGTGGCCAATGGTGCAGCCCATGCCTGAGGTCAGAGCACAGCTCAGCACAGCCTTCACTGCAGAAAGAAAGGAAGGGAGGGGTCCATTCACTGAAGAAAAAGAACAAGAACTCAAAAACATTTTTTTTCCTCTTCCTTTTATAATGAATTTGTTTTCACTTTTTTGTGTTTCATTTTTACTGCCTGCATCAGTAATGCTGGACTGCAATGAGGTAGCAGCTGACACAGCTCCTTTTTCTCTGAACAGCAGAATTGCTGTCTCTCTGGGCAGCATGGCCATGCACCTGATGTTGGCATTCAGGCCACTTTTCATTGCTGCTTTGGTGCATATCAAGGATTCCAGTCATAAAAATTTATGGTGGGGTGGGAGTAAAAAACTTTATGAAATGGCATGGACTTCTCAGTGTGAATGTAACAAAATGATAATTTAAGGTACATTTTTAGGGATAAGAGTTTAAAATGCATATTAATTAGATTAATAAGAAAATCTTTATGAAAATCTCTGCTATAAGTTGCAAGTAGCTGTTTAATCAAATTCCTTTGAAAAAATGCATTTTATTATACCACAATTAGCACATCCATTTTGTTTTTAGTACAACTTGTGCTAAAGCATGTTTGCTGTGGAGTTTCCTCGTGGCAATTAGCAGAGAAGGAGTTGAACTTTTTTCCAAGCTTTGTAATTTGTAAGTGTCATATCTGGGGAAAATCGATGGGATTATAATAATAATCTTGGCAATATATTGGGGTAGTGATCACTAGCACAGAAGGGAAGTGGTGAGGATGGTCACTGTAGCACACAGCTCTGTCTTCTCTGTGAAACTCACAAACACAACAGAAATCCAAATGTGAGAGTGGCTTTTATGTAGTCAGAGGGACAAAGAAAAAATACAGTACAGCAATATTAAAAGAAAATATCCAGTGCAAATGTCTTTATACAGTGGAAATTGATACAGCATTCCTTAAAATAGCTTTATAAAACAAGCTTGAAAACAGCAATTACAGATAATACTATCTGGGTGATGCTTACCGAAGTACTTTATTTACTACACTAAATAATTTCATAACTAACTTTACCTGTTGATTGCCAATACATTAATTACTGATGAAAACCCTAAATGGTAAGTAGTATTAGTTAGAATTCTCTATAATATACTAACATGTGGAACCTCAATAACATACACTGTTGGCTGGATTAAGCAAAACAGTAGAAAATGGACACACATTTACAAATAAAATCAAGGCTGTCATCCTCAGATTCCCTTTTTTTTATAGGAGATCTGATCCAAAGGTGATGTGATTGATGGGCTGGATTCTACTTAGCTTTCCCTTTGTTCGTATTTGAAAATGTTAGTGATTTGAATCACTGATGATAGTTATGTGTTTGTGTCTAGCAGATGTTTTAGTAGACAGCTTCCTATGGCTGTGTGGACTGAGAAGAGAGTGTATTATCGTGCATTGCTGTGTCCTGCCACAAAAGCACTGTGGAGGAGGGAAAGGACATGAACAGATGAAAAGGAAACTAATGAGGTTCCACTGCATTGTTTTAGGAAGAAAAAAAAAAAAAAGATTTAGTATTATGTGGTTAGCTCCCAAATTTAAATAATCAAATGGTCTAAACTAATACATACAGCTGTAGCACAGATTCTGCAAAACTGAGTGTTTGTGTAGTAGGGCTCTGGTCCTGCTGAAGAGAACAGGAATCTGCATTGACAGAAGCCAGAGTCAGGCTGTTGTCCTAAGAGACCCACTTGTAACAAGATGCCTTTGGCTGGGTAACGTCAGGCATGGGAAATTTCATTCTGTTCGTGGTGTGTCTCTTCATCAGACATGAAGCTGAACACGTGCTTTCCGTGGACAGAGCAGTTGCTGCTCCAAAACCTTACTTACATTTGTGGTTCTCTTACGCAGACAAATGTGTAGGTGTGTAGTGTCCTGGCTTGGAACTCTACAATATTTTCCTACCCGTTTTACAGTACCTGCTTAGAAAAAAAATTAAAACAGTTTCACAGTAATAAGGCCCATCCTTTGTGTGTCCCTGAAATAGTACATTTCCTTTAATAATGTTGAATAAAAAACTTACTCAACCTTTTTAGAGATCCAGAAAGACCTATGCTGCTATCCAGAAAGATTTACAGTACTGGAGTCTCGACATTCCCCTGATGTCTACATTTCCTGCCCTGCAGGATATGTTCCATTGAGTAACACTGAAGTCCTATTTACAGAAAGAAAAGACAATTCTGCTGCTGGCTAGAGGAAATTCTCACACTCCAGAAAAGTGCCTGAAATCATCATCAGGCTGTTAAAAATGAGAGATGAAACCAGACTATGCCTCTAAAAATCCTGTCTAATTTTATCTGCAGTAACTCATGTATGTAGTCAAAGACTATAAAGCTAGAATAATTAATAGATCGGAAAGAAGGAAAAATCTTGCCTTTTTTGAAAGTGATGGAATTGTTTCTAATATTAAGTGATAAACCATATGTTCCTTCTTTCCTCTGCTGGGTAAGCATAAGCGTGGAGTATCAATAAAGATGTTACTGTCAGGACAGGCAGGCTGGAGATGCAGGAGGTTATAAAAACATTCTTTCCCACTGCCACCAAACCTGTTTGTTCCAGCAGGTCATCCTGAGCTCGTGCTGGTGAAAGCAGCACAGGATGAGAGAAATGAAGGAGAAGCCAGGGACAATACCACTTCATAAAGAGAAGGATCTATTGAGGCAGGGAGAGGAGTCGTGTCCTAGGAGACTCTGGGTCCCCAAGCAGCAATTCTGGGGAAAGAACAGAATGCTGGCAAAAAGAGCAGTGCTGGGGAAGCCAGTACGTTATTTGTGTGGTTTGTTTAATCCCTACTGCTATCAGGTTTTCTTGTTTGAAATCCTAGTACTGCCTGGGTGAAGAGCTGTGAATTCTTCTCTGGCCATTGGCGGGCTCTTGATACCTATCTGTAGTGGAAGGGAGAACATTTTGTGGCTAATGTGAACTTAATACACAAAATCTTCATTTGTTTCTGATCCATACAGCTCAGCTAACATTTTAAACCTAGGTCCCCAGTCATTTAGGAAGTCATAATCAATATCTGAGTCTGAAGAGCCTGATTCCAAAGAACTGAGAGATTCTGCAATGGACTCGGCCCCTTCGTAGCCATAAATGTGAAGTGTGTCATATGGCAGCAGATCCCTGTCGTTGTCAGCTTCGTCCTTCTTAACCTCGATCATCATTTCCATTTCTCCAGCACCAGAAGTTGTATTTCCAGGAGGCTTTTGGACCTGTGCGTATGCAGAAGGCACCACTTCTGGCTTTATTCCATTCTTGCGCACAGAGTTGAGCACAGACACATCATAGCTGGTGGTGTCCATTTCACCACCACCTTCTTCATCGTAAGTGACGAGCTGCTCGTGGATCTCTGCCACGTTCCTCCTGAGTCCACTCAGATCCTTCTTGTGTCTCTTCCTTAGAAGAATCAGCATTGCAATCACTGTGAAGGAAATGTATGTGAGCAATTGTAAATAGAGAAGTAACAAAGTAAAACAAATTGCATTTTAGATGTATTGCATAACAAACATGCATTTCAGGGCTTTTTCCAAGGGTTTTTTAGATATTTTATTTATTTTTAAAACTTAAAATACTGCTGATCTGTAGGATTTGTACATTCTCAAAGCAACTCTCTGCGAGGATTTCACAACTGACTTTGGAGCTGGCATCACAGGTGCACGTGCAGAGTGTTGCAAGTGCACTGAAGGATTCTATCGATGGCTGCCTTGAGGTGATACATACATATTTAGTGCCAGGCATCAAATGCTGCTTGTGTGGTAGCTGCAAAGGAGGCTTCTTCTCAAGCAATACAAGAATGTTGCCCAGTCTATGATTAGGTTCCAAATAAAACAAATAGGTACTGTCCTTCTTATTTACATATTTATGTATGTACGTTCACTGTACTGCTTAAAGGGTTTCCAGAGTAGTTCAGCCTTTGGAAACAGGAATACTGTTGTTATTGCCTCAGTACAGTTTTCCTTTTTATAGCTGCACGTGAGCCTAGTGACACTAAATCAAGTGTATTATGCATACGTGCAGTGACCTTTCCAGTGAGCCAGTCTTTCCAATAGAATGAGCATGCTTGTAGTTGCAACTACACTACCAGGCCAAATAGAGCAAGTGAAATGAATCAAATAGAGTTTTTCTGCCGTCATGACCATTTTATAGCCACAAAACTTTTTTGGACCTCAATGAAGAAAAAAAAAAAGGAAAAATAAAATTCCCACACCTTGAAGAATATTACCAAAGTCTGATGACTTACCAATGATAGTGAAGATACAGATAAAAATTGCGACCAGTGCTTGTATACTAACTCCAACTTGTTTAGCTCTTTCCTCACAAAAAGTGAAGTCGCCTTTTTCATTGCACTTGCAGACACTGATAACAAGTGTGTTTGTGCTGCTGAGGTCAGGATCACCATTGTCTGAGATGATGACAGGCAGGTAGTGGATTTTGGCAAGTTCACGATTAAACTGTCCATACTTGACAGTGATATTAGCTGTGTTATCTGGAAGAAGTAACAATAGCTAGTTAAGTGATAATTGCTACCTGATTTTCCTTATAGATTATAAGTCATTTGATACACCTTTGCCTTTGATAGAGCAAGCCTTTGGGGACTCCTGAGAAGCTTGGGTGCCAACATTGTTTTCAGTGGGTTAAGCCTTTCAAAATATCTGCTTAGCTCTTGTGGCCCAATTGTAGACCTGTGCTACGGCCTTCCTCCCCCTTGAGCTGCTGTCTCGCTGTAGCTGTCTGAGAAAATGCATTTCAGGGATACACTACCGTAGTTCTCAATCAAGGAGAAGTTGCTATCTTCTGTGGTTAGAGAGTATCTGAAGAAACCTCTAGGTGATGTTTCATCCTTGTCAGTAGCTGAAATCCTGATGATTACCTATAAAGGTAAGATGGGAGAAGTCATAAATTCCAGTGTACATTGTGTGATAAAAACGCTTGCAGTATATAAGTTAGTGCTGAGCTATGTATCCAGTATAACCTTTCAGCAAAGGGCAGAGCAAAGATATCTTGAGAAGTTTCTCTTCCATTTCTTACAGGGCAAGTAGTTTCCACATAGCTCTCCAAAATGAGTTGTTTTTCTCTTTCATTCAGAGATAGGAAACAAAAGATGAAATCTTGTGTCATTAAAGCATGAAAAAGTCTTATGCTCAGATGTATGTTATCGAATGTTCATTTAGTTACCGCAATATTCTAGTTACCTAAATACTTATTTATTTAAATATTTAGTTACCTAAATAAACACTCTCTCAAGTATTTAACTTATTTAAAAAAAATGAGGCTCATTCACTGAATGCCATTGAGACTGCCATTCCTCAATGACACAGTGTTTTGAAATCTCAATCTGAGATACGTTAGATGTATGAAGTAGAAAAAACGTGTATGATTATGTCCCAAAGGTAATTTAAAAATTACATTAAAGATGAAATAATACCTTGCATGTTCTAACAGATGATTTCATCAGATTCCAGTCTGTGAAAAAATCTCTTAATTAATCAAACATTATGCATATAGGCTATGCAAGTATTTACTTGTATCTGAGCTCAAACATCTAAGCCTGCAAGTATTATTGCTAGTAGTGCATGCAGGTGCTCTCATCAGTAGGTGCTATAGTAATGTCACAATTAGCAGTGTTTCTCTTAGTAACTTCTGGTTTCTTGGAATTACTAACTTTTGCTATGCAAGGTTGCTTTACTTTGCAGTCTAGTTGGTAATGCCCAGCGTTCATACTGTACATGCTTAGAAGCATACATAATGTACGGCTTAAAAGCCCATAGGGAGGGGAACTGTGCAGCCAGCCCATCTGTACTTAAGGAAGACCCTTCCTCCTGCCCTACCTTTCCTGGCGCAGCATTTTCACACACTCTGGGTTCCTCAGGATAAACGAGTTCTGGAGCGTTATCGTTTTCATCAATGACGATGACGTGAACGTGTGCGTGTGATTCTCTGTCAGAAAGACGGCCTGAAATGACAGCAATGGCAATGCACTGGCTGGAGTCTTGGTGCTGTAAAGCCCTTGCCACGGATTGTGCCCACCTCTGTGACTCTCACATGCCAAAAATGAGGAACTCCTAGCTCCATCACTCATTTAAGCTTTTCCTTTGACAGACTCAGATGTTTTTCTCAAAACTCTCATAGTGGGCTAAACCATGAAGAGCTATGAAGAAGAAAATGACGATTCATTTTGGCTCCCAGATTCTTCATTTTCTGTGACTGTGGAGTCCCTTGTTCTCTGGCCCTAAGGCCACAGGCACAGAGTGCCCAGTATTATTAATATCCTTCACTCTGCAGAAGAGTCTGACCTCTTCCAATCTAACTGGGAACTGCCCCAGCCCACCCCTCTTCCTAAACCCAGTGGAGCCGTGCGTAAATGTCTGGGGAGCTTGCTGGGCACGTTTTGTAGCTCTGTGTGAGTGCGAAAATAGGCTGGCATACTTCTGCTCCAAACACAGGTTCCTGCCTGTTCCCCAAGCTTCTTCCTCTCCTCATGCCTCTGTCATTCCTTTAGACAAGCCGAAAGCATTTCTGTGATAGCAAGGGGCCGAGTCTTAAAAGTGTTTGATCTATTTGTAGGTACTCATCTGATTTGAAGATTGCTGTGCAAACCCTGCAAGCATCCATTTCATTCTTAGCTTAGTGGAAAGAAGCTGTCAGGTTGTGGTTTCCTTCCTGATAAGGCGCAGTCCAGCTGTAAAATCACCCACTGATTTCTTTCAAGTAAAGAAATGATAGCACTTACCATCCTCCAGGATTTCCTGGGCTGCCACAGTGATGTTGTATGAGGAGCTGAACTCTCTATCCAGGGGCTTAGGAAGCTGAATAATTCCAGTATCAGATACTCTCACATAGTCTCCATTAGGACTAGCTTTTCGTCGAACAAATCTGTTTTGTTTAAAAAGAGATGCATCACTACAAGAGTTAGAATATTACGCTTCACTTCAGTTCTTCATAGGAAAAGGCCAGAGAGTGGTTGTATAAAAAATTACGTTGATATCATGACCAGGGAGCCTCAGAACATTTTCCTAAAGTTATTCAAGCTGTGAGAGCACAACGTATCCGTCTGCGAGGTTCCCAGATTATTGGCTTTCACTGTTTAAGAAGTCTATTTTCTTTTCCTTACAAAGCACATACTCAAGAAAGTTGTTAAAATAAAAAATTTAACAGCAGATTATTATAACCATGTAAAGATATCCAGGATTGTGTATTTTCCCATAAATGTACAGGTATTTTATTAGCGAGTTTATGTACATAAGTAACGTGTTCGTGTTTGTTGGTTGTTGTATGCATCCACAGCTGCAGTGGCTGAAAAGTCAGATTGGATTTTTCTTTTGCTTGCAAATGTCTGAAAAATAAGGTCAGTGTCTCAATACTTTGTCAAATTCTTGGAATTGTTAGCAAATTCTCTACTTAACAATAGAACCACTAAAGCTGGTGTTGTGTTACCTGATCTTCCGTTTAGCTGCGTCGGGGTCATATGCCCAAGCAGAGCCAAGTGTTTTTATTTCAAGATTATTCTCCTGTACTTTGAATTCATATGGTAGTTTGGTGAAGACAGGAGGCTCATCTATATCGGTAACTTCAATGGTAATTGTTGAAATGCTCTTGGAGCCACCAGGTTTGTAGTAGGCAGGGTTAACGTTGTGATCTGTTGCTTCAATGTCAAACCTGTACTCTGCTACTTTCTCAAAGTCCAAGGGCTAGAAGAAAGACAAACATAGACATTCTTCTTTGGTGATGGCTGGGTAAAATGCGAATTAAAGCTCTGTGCTGTCACGTTTGTTGGAAAATACTAGCAGATTGCACTTTGACTAGACTCTGGAAAGCATATCCAAGCTGACCTTCTCTTTCATAAATGGAGTGGCTGTACCTCAGGTTTTGAACAGATTCATGCTATCTGCTATCATGTGTTTCAAAGCTTGGATCCCCGTTCCCTATCACCCAAGATTATAAAAACGCACTGTGAAACGTGCTGTAGTTAATCGTGCTGACTGTATTTTTGTTTGAGTGGACATTGTACATGGAAATGACAGTGCTTATTTCTCAGTTGAAATTGCACCTCACCTGACTGCATATCTAAAATTCTGTTGTACATCTGTGCCTGAAGCGTGTTGTGAGATACTGAGGCAAACTGCCCACTGCCTGGTGAAGGCTGTCTCTGCCTCAGGCAGTGCGTGTGTGAGATCCCTGCTGCTGTGCTGCTCTTTGGCACAGGCTGATAGCATCACATGCCTCAGGCCCTGAGGTAAGGGTGGGCTTGTTTTTGGTGATGGAAAGCTGTTGGCATACAGTTGGTCATTTACAAGTCTCAGGATATTTGTTGCTTTTTTTCTATATAGAAGTTTCCCTTAATAGTATTTCTAGTACTGATAGCTACATGTAGATGCTTGGAAGTTAAAAAAAAAAAACGCACATTCATGTCAATCTGAATATTACTTACAGTAATTTATAGTCCTCTGTCCTTTTCTTTCACCATAAATCAATGAAATCAATGAACTTTTTGGCTTGGAAGTGCTCTGCATAGTGCAGGAATGTTCCTTGGTAAAAATTAAGTAGGTTTGAGAATTAAAAAACAAAGAGCAAACCATAATAGAGGTGTGTGTGTGTTCACATTCCTGTTTTGGTTTTTCTTTGGCTGCAGAAGGGAAAGATTCTTTGAGTCAGTCAGCTCAACTCTTGCTTTCACAGACTATTTGAAGCATCAAATATCTGGAATTTGGGGGGAGCCTGAAGCATGTAGCCTGCACATCTGGCATAATCCCCACTGCACTCTGCAGCAATTGCAGATTTTCCCAGTTTTGGCAAGTGAAATGGGCTGGTAAATCACCTGCTCTCCTCACAGGGCTTACAGAACGAGGTTTTCAGGTTGAATACCTTTTGTGCTGTGGCTTTCATGCATTTCCATGTTTTCTTGCTGCCAGTTCCACACTCAATCAAACACTTGTTAAACATGGCAAAACAAAATGGTATCTTTCTTTGTTACTGGGAGAAGTACCTTCTTTGGTCTAATGATCCCTTCATTGGTGAATGGATTTGCTACAATTTCAAAGGTGTCCCTGTAATCTCCTCTGACAAAACTGTATTTTGTATGTCTGTGTTGTGGTTCATCGATATCTTCAACTTCGACTCGGCCAACTTCTCCTCCTACTGAAACGTTTTCAGGAACTTTAAAATGAAATGATGCTGTTTAAAAAAAAAATCAACAAACAGGTCATAATGACGATGTACATGGAACTTGGAACTTACATACAATTTTTTCTTAGTTTATAGACAGACATACACAGAATAATTGAGAATTCAGTGTTATTGATCTCTACAGACAGCGCTGCAATTTTTTTTTACATACTTCTTGAAATTGTCAGGTTTCTTCATAAAGTTACCAAAGTTAATACTGTTTTTTACTTTCTGCTCTACATACTCTCCAACCAGTAAATGGAGGAAGTGCTGAATGCAGAAAGCCCTCTGAATACGTGAGCTACTTTTGTTCACTTTAAAGAACAATTGAATCGTGATGCCTCATGTAAATTTCTTCTTTTCGTGTCATTTCTTGATTTCCAAATGATCCTTTACTTACGGTGTTTGAATACTGGGAAGTTGTCATTGATGTCTGTTAACCTGATAATGACTGTTGCTGTGCTTGACTCCCCCGTAAGCCCGAGAGCATCTTTTGCTTTAACAATGATTTCATATGTTGATTGATTCTCTCTGTCCAAATCAGCTCTGGCCGTGGAAATGACGCCTTAAAAAAATAATATTGAATATGATTAGATTTTGCAATGTTTCCACATCTCTTGATTTTGAAAGCAAGTTTTTACCTTATGCCACACATTCAGCTTCAAGTTGCAGTCTTACAGTTACATTTTTCTAAGGCAAAACTATTAGAAATTTTTCTCTATAATAAAACATTTGGGAGATTTTGTACAGTACATTTCTTTAAACTTATCTTTTCTGCTCAGAAACCAGCTGATAATGTCTAGGCTTGGTCACTACAGCATCTGGAGTGTATGTCTGATCACCTTTTTATCTGCTTTAGTTGCTCCAGAGAACCAGCTTACAAGAGATGATGAGTTTATTTTTCTATCTGGACAAACTTTAAACAAAAAAAGTTTAGGTAAGCAAAGGTTTGAGTTATTGACTAGACACCAGAAATAAACTTTCAAAATTAGCCTAATAAAATGCATTGTTTGTATGTGCTGACTTGCTCCAGGTGTATGCTGACTTGAGAAGTTTCCTGTGCCAAGTCTGGAAAGCTGTAGGGAATTTTCTTGGTTTGTAATCATTATCTACTCTTTGCTTTTTAAGAATGTTTGTCAGATATTCTTTAGGAATGCTGTTTCTTAATGTATTCCTCTTTTTCTGTTTGGTCAAAGGAATGATATCTGTGGTAAACTGAAAACATAGACAACTCCTATTGGTCTTTTAATCAGTAGGAGCTGCCTGACCTGATCTTGTCATTTACCTCATGATACCTAAAATCCTGACTTTTTATTGGCTCATTTTCAGATGTAGACAGTGACACTGTGTTAGTGTGAATGAAAAATCTTTCCAAATTACAGTTGAAAGTAAATTTTTGGCTTTATATCTCCTCTGTCCAGAAAGAAAATAGCTTAAAATTGAATTTTCTTATAAGCATAAGGTCAACATTTGACATATCTGACCTACCAGAGTCATCAACTGTGAAATATTCATTTCCTTTAATGATTTGGTAGGTAACTGTGGCATGACCTGCAACTGTTGGGTCATCAGCATCTTCAGCTGTCACTTTGGTAACTGAGGTTCCTAGAAAAGGATTATCAAACAGCACATTTAGTATAAATTTTGCTTTTCAGCCAAGGAAAGGATGGAAAGTGAGTAATGGAAGAACCTTACCTAATCGTGACATTTCTGGGACAGATCCATTGAATACCTTTTGTACAAAAATGGGAGCATTGTCATTAATATCATAAACCTTGATAATAAATTTAGATGGTGGTTCCAGTGATCGGTTGTTTCTTCTGTCAATAATGTGCGCTGTCAGCTCATACTCTGCCTTCTTTTCTCTGTCCAGCCTCTCAAAAGCATATATGTCGCCGTCGTACCCTTGCACTTTAAAGATGGTGTTGGCAGATTCACCTTCAATAATATACATAGCATTCTTGTTCCCTACGCTCGATGTGAGCTAGAAAGTATAATTCAAAGAGAAAAAAGTGAGCTGTGGCTTCTGAATGCAAAACAGTTTCTACCAGAAGATACACACAAACTTGACCTCTTATTCAGACTCAGTTTGAAACCGTTGGGAATTTTGATGGCAGCTGGCATATTACTGGACAAACCAGCAGTGCAGCCACAGCCATCCAGAGTTACAGGATGAAACTTCACCCAGACTGAAACCTGCTTGCTTATATATGGGGAAGGTTCTATTTTGAGGTTGTGAGTCACATTTCCTGAAGGTATAAATTGTTCGTGCAGTTACAGATAAAAATTGTCAGCCTCATTGTGTCAGAAATATAGGAACCACTACTTTGTTTGAGCTACACTTGTTTGCAAATAATCTTTGGAATTTAGCTGAATTCCAAGTGGAATTTTGCTTGGATTTCACAGATTTACAGAAACAAATCTTTATTTGCAGCTACTGACAAACATTGTTTAGCATTTTTCTCCATTGTTTGCCACTTAGCAGAATTCCTGCTATAACTGTCAGCTTTCTTGTGTTTAGTCACGTGCCATTTCTTCATAGCTGGTCTTTAGAGTCATGGTTATGACAGTGAGATTAAGTTTTCACCCCACAGTTTCAAATTTAAGATTGTATTCTATGAAAAAAAGGGTGGGGTAAAAGGAATAAACGTTAATCCGTTTTTATATGTAATTTAATCCAATCCCAAATAATTTTGTACATTATTATTTTTTTAATCTGGACTTAATTTGATGATTCTTACCTATCTACACTCCTCTAAGAACACTGCTAGAAAGTTTAAACCACAATTTTCTGTGCACTACATCAGCATTCTTGTTTCAGCAAGCTACTTATCAATAATTGTTGGGTTTGACCAAGATTTTCTAGTCTTTTGTTACTGGTGTTATCATAAATTGCAGCTGTTTGGTATTGGGGATTTGATTTACCCTGTAGTTGTCATTTACTGTTGAACATTCTTTCATTTATGTTTTCTGCTTTGAAGTGTGCTATTAAAACTCTCTTTCCTCGTTCCACACACTTAATCATGCTTCTAACTGCTGGTGCTGCCGAACAACAGCTTGTGAGTCGGGAGATGTAGCAGGAGAAAGAATCTCATCCTTGTCTCAAAGATAGTACAGCCTGTGCCTCCTTTCTTAATTTTTACTTACTTGGTGTGAAAGGTACAGCTTCCAAGATTGCCTAAAATCTAAGGATAAACATGCAAAAGGAAGCCTCCAAGATCATCAAGGATAAAATCCAGACTTATCAGCATATTCCTGCAGTTGTCACTCCGTTTGGCCATGCTGGTGCTGTGGCCTTTTAAAAGCATTTATTGAGTGTTCAATCCTGTAAATGCAATGCACTGAACACAGACATTGCAAAAGTAATCAGACGCATTCCACTTTTGAAAGACAACAGAGCACAGTACAACGTGAATAACTCTTATTTAGGACAGCACCAGGAATAAAAGTGTTCTCCTTAATCCGCTGCTGAATTGGTCTGAAATGAAACACAGATATCCTGCAGTAGCTGAGTACCCGGTGGCCTCTTTTCTCTCTCGTGCCTTCTGCCAGTGAGCAGCACTGATCCAGAAAGGTCTGTTTCACTTTACCATAACAGCCTTGACAGATGCTGATTGTTGTACATGGAAGGAAACTGTAGAACTGCATTTATCTGAGAAGTGTCAAAGTAGTTCAGTTTGAAAGACTAGACTGGGAGAACTTTGTCTGGGTGATGTGCAGTTAATCACAGGATTTTATGAGCACTGCCCCGAAGAAAATGAGTTTGCAGTCAGGTCAATGCTTGTTATTACTTTCAAAAATTGTTTTCCTTCAGTTTGTGAAACAAATTTTTTGATTGTGTAACAGTACTCCTAAACAGCACTTTACTTTTGTGTCCGTGCTGAGGGATGTAAGCTATATGTTCTTTGATACGTATGTTTTTATTAGCTGATCTCTCAGGTTTTTGAAAGAGCTACCAGAAAAACATTGACATACATCATCTGCCAGACCTTCTTCCTAAATCTGCACCTGCATGCAATGCAGTTGTTTCTTCACTGCAGGTGCTCCATGCTTGCTATTCTCTAAAATGTATTTATATTCTTCAAAAGAATTGGAATTCCTTTGATGCTGTTCTTGATTCACTCTGCACCCATTTTAGGATTGTGATGTTAGTACATCAGTCCCATTTCTATTTCCTGATTTTTCCCCCTTAATTCTACTAAGCTGCAAACAGGTAATACTTCTCAGGACACTCATTTGCTCTCTGCATTTCCATCATTCACTGCTGAAAGACTGCTGTTTACCTTGCCAACGTGATGTGGTAATGGTGAATCAATCTCTTCTCTGATATGCATTCGGTTCCATATCCAGTCTCTCTTAAGTCGTTTATGACTGGTACTGTTTGAAGAAAAGTTTTGTTTTGTTTTCTGGTTTTCTTTATAACAGAATGCTGGGGCCAAGAACAGTGAGAAAAGCAGAATAAGCTTCTTCATCTTCTTCTGAGCCTAGGGAGTAATACAGAGCACGAGAACCATGTAAATAACAACAGAATCGCATTCATCAGAGGAAGCGTGCATGGAAGAGCAAACTGAATTTCCTTCTGGAGGAAAGTTTGATTACTTTCTGTATTTCTTTCAATCTGCCTTAGAATCAGAAATTGAAATATCAGGCACAAAACCTTCCGCAACACAAAGCAGCTTCAACCAGATGATTCGGCAGCTGTAAAAAGCACTCAAAAATTGAATAAATAAAAAATGCAAGTTTTTAAAGCTATCATAAAACTCAGCACTCTCTTGAGCTACACAGTTCATCTGAAGAGAACATTCAGTAGCAAAGATGCCCCTTTGTGCATTTCAGAAAATTTAGTTTGGCTTCTGCTTGTAGCTCGTGAGGGAGAGCTGCCCTGGGAAGCAGCACCAGGGCTGAGCCAGGTCAAAGTTTATGTTAACTCAACTTGAAGTGAAACGTTAAAGTTTGACAAACTGAAATGCAGTGTTTTGACGTGACCTGACACAAAATACTCTGTAGTCAATATCTTCATATAGAAACTATTGATTTAAAATAAAACTTTTTTTTGTTGATGGAAAAAATGATTCCTATGAAAATTTCAATCTATTCAAGGTTCAATGTAGCAAATTATCTTCCTCAGAGGGCTTGTTTATTGCATCAATTCCTTGTGTCTGAAAATGCATGGAGGCACAAATAAAGCTCATTTATCCGTTATTTTAGATTTTAGCACATACAAAAGAGTAATTCATAAAATTACTTTCAGGAAAAACCCTTTTTTTTTACATCGTAAGTTAATATTAGCAAACTTTAGGTCTGGTTATCGGATTGAGTTCATTTCATGTAGAAAAGCTGATTCATTTTTCCACTAAATTTTCCCTATGCAAAGTAAAGCACTGTCATGGAACTTAAACGCTTCAATAATCAGACATTAACTTCCACATAAATGACTTCCCATTAGCTTTTAGGAGCTGTCAGTACATACATCAAAAGTAAAAGTTAATTGTGACAGAGAAGTTGAAATCACGCGTGTTGTTAGATATTAGATCAAATTAATATCTTTGGCATGATTTGTTGAGATTGTCAAAATTACACTTTGGTAATTAGGTAATCAATGTTACCCTGTGGTGCAGCAGCATTATCAGTAAAAAGATTTTATTTACCATGAAATTTTGCTCTCTTTACAGTTGTGCATGACCTGCGGAATGTTCCTTCCTTTATGAATGTCTAGGAAAGGACTAAATAGGCTGCCTTTCAAGCTTCTGTTTAATAGCTGAGCTATGGCTTGTGCACTTTTAGGGATGTATATGAAAGTTTTTGAATCAGCAATTTCTTTCTCTTCTATGTGTTTACTTTGCCTTTATTTTTAGAAAAAATGAGTGAGATTTATTGATTTTTCTTTGTTTTGTTTGTATTTCTCAAATATTCTACAACTGGAACTGTCAGGCACTGAATTTGATGCTGCCGTGCTCTGTCTTTTGTTCATTAAGTTACAAAATGTGGTAACCAAAGGAAAACCATTTGGCTAACGTCAGCTGGTATGGTCTGTACTTCAGTAAAAACAGATGGTAGTGTTTCATCTGCCATTTCCTCTCACTGCTGTGGTCCTGTGGGATCTCGTGGATGATTGCTGTGATGAGGTTAGCTGGTGAAACTGAGGACAACACTGCCCACTTGAGCTGCTATTTGTTTCACTGCAACTGATACATTTACAGACCTGCAGAACACATTTTTAGTTCAAATGTCAAATCTCAATTAAAGCATACTGATCTTGAAATGAATTTTGTTTGTAAAGAGATCTGCTGACCTTTGTGGTAACTCCTTCCTAGCAGTGGCCCTGTTTTCACTAACATGAAGTTCAGGGCCTGCTGTGCCCCAAGCTTGAGTCGTCAGGATGCTGCCAGCCTGCACTGAGGATGTCACTGCTAACCGCAGCGCAGGCAGGGGCACTGCAGGTTAGGCACTGAAGGCTTCAATCTGTACTGAGGGTACTGGGATGGGTGTAGGAGCTCAGGGGCAGTGGTGTTAGCATGGCTGTTCCTGAGGATCTGTTCTGCAAACTCTCCCTTGAAGTAAGTGGCTACTCTCTACGTGTTTCACAGTTCAGACCTTGTTTGAAAACTTGACCATCAATACAGAAAGCACTTATGAGAAGATTAAGATGTCCATTGGGCATATTTTTAATAATACCTCTTTGCATTAGGCTGAGTCTTTGAAATGAATGCATATTTTGGCTGAAGCTTGAGCCAACTCTTCCACTCGGTGGACCTGTCTTCATGTTAACGGATTTTGAGCTGGTTTCCCTTCCTTTAATCTCTCATTAGAGGATTGTCAATACATGTCTAGCCTCCATGGTGCGGTAAATGCTCCTTTATGAGCAGCTTGGTGCAGCTTGGGGCTGCCCTTCATATGTCAGGCTGAGACAAAGAACCTCTCGCACAGCACGGCTTCAGCTTCATCTGTGGAACCTCTCAAAATTTCTTGTTTTAGTAGGAGTAACACTGCACACTGAGCACTGTGCCCTGTCCTTCTGAGGGGTATTCAGTATGCAGGTCTTGATAGGGCAGTCTGTTCCTCTGTGGTACTGTGTGAGTTCCCCATTCTGCAGCTCTTGGATCTGTGGCTTAGTTCATCACAGCATTTCAGAATGCCCTTCGTTGGCAGCATGTACAGACTTTTGGTGGCAGGGCCCTGCTGCACTCTCTTACCAATAATTCAAACTTTTTTTTTTACTTTAAGCAAGGACTGTAAGTGTTCCTTAAAGTTAGCAGGGGAATGGCTTATTGAAATAGTTAAGCTTCTCGTGACGCTCTTAAATTTTCTTGCAGCGAATGATATTTTTTTCTGCCAACATTATTCATTTTTTGTATTGAGTTATTTCAGCAAATAACTCTTAATCTGCAGGGCACTATAGACATTTAACTAAGAAATTTTGGTACTCAAACTGATTTATAAGACACCTGATACATACAGTGTAGTTTCTTTTGCAGATTGGAAGTAATTGTTAAAAAAATCAAGTCAAGATGTACTGATTAAAAGTTTGCATTTTGCAATTTGTTTGAGTAAGAAGTCAAACAAGTGTGATGAGCAACAAAAATAAATAGTGTCCATTCAATGAAAATACATTTGATGGAATATTCTAATGAACATTTGTTGGTTTTTTTTTCTGGCATTCCCCTCTTACTTGGCTTGATTCTTGTTCTGAAATTACCTATTCATGCTTACGTCACATAAGTTTAAGTTAATTAGTTACAAATCTTGTTCTATGCTTGCATGTTAAATAGAAGTTAAACCAAGCTTCTGCATGAAGAATTTGATAAATATGCATGTGTCTATAGCTAAACTGATGTGTTGATCAGATTAAGGTCTTGTACTAATCTTAGAGAGTTTTTGTTTTGTGGCAATTGAGGTGGATTCCAGGCAAGATGGAAGTAGTGATATGGAATAGCTTAAGAAGAATTTGCTTAGAAGTCTGTATTATACACCAGAGAAGAAATGGGCACTTCTTGATCCCCTGTAATACCTCTTTAAATGTTTTTGTCTATATTGTTCAGATAACTTGCTTATCTGATTGTTAGAAAAAGCTGGAAAGTAAATGATTATTGACTGTTGAGCTGGAAACTTGATGATTTTTGTTTACAGTATCTTGGTTAGAAACTGAACAACGTAAATTAAAATGAAAAATCCCTTACAAAATTGAGAGTTTCTCTGGGGAGAAAAAAATAACAAAATGACTGATAAAAGAATAATACAAGATAGGTTGTATTCTGTTCCATGGTACTGGAAATGTTGCTGCTTCTGGTTGTCAGTCAAATCCCAGCTGTCCCACCTGCAGCAATCTAAGTGCAGGGAGCACTAAATATCTGCAGTTCTGCATTCAGTCAGTTGTGATTAACGCCAAGCTTGAGGGAGAGCATTGGGCTCAGCTGCCCCCCATCTCCTGTTCAGGTGAACGCTGAGGGGATTTTAGGTGTTGTTCCCCTGGGTCTGGCCCCAGAGGGGGTCTGTATTGTCACAAGTGTTGTTATAAGCCTTTCCCTGTCCCCTCCACTGCCCCCTCCCTTGGTGGCTCTGTGCAAAAATTCTGTTCAATTTGCCAACTCTTCAACCTTCGATGTTGTTCAGGTGCAAAAATTTTATTTTGATTCAAGATCTGGGCACTTCCTATTCGTAATGAAGCCACATTAGATTTAATGAGGACAGATTGACTCAGTGTCAGCTAACAAAACAACTCTGCCTTGCAGAATCTAGTTTTACTGTTACATTCTCATTTATACAATGTGTAAGACCAAAGGTAAATGTGTGAATGCAGTAGGCAGTGAGAAATAGAAAGGTAACCACCAAATGTGAGGAGGATGAATTATCTTTTTCTTTGCAATGCCTGTAGCTTAATGCATGCTTAGCTTGCTTTGCAAAAGGAGCATATTTGGTAAGCAGACAAAACATGATTAGAAGAAAGTAGCCCTAGCAGTACTTACTGCTACATTTCAGGGACTGCAAATGGCTGTGCTAACATGAATGGATAAAGCCTTCTCAGATCTCTGTGAAAAGTACTGCTGCTAGATGAAAAGCTGTATCCCTTTCAAAAGATACCTTTGAAGCACAGAGGACTTAAATTTCTTTGCCATCTCCTGTCGATGGACTGAGGTCAGCACTAACAGCAGTCTCGGATTTTTTTCTCCCAATTTTTTTGATCTCTTAATTAGACAACATTGCCCTAACCTGCTCTGACAAACCCGGAGAGACAAGGCAGCAAAGTAATCACACAGACAGAATTGTTACCTGCGCTGCATGTACTCAGCGGCTTCTAAATTGCAAGAACGCAGTCCTCCTTTGCTCCGGTGAGTTTACAGTGTGAGAATAGTTAAGGGCACACAGCCAGTTCAGTGAGAATGGGAACCACATCTTCGACCTTCAGTGACACGTTGGGAAATTGTGCAACGTTCGACTTGGAGCAAGCATTTCTATTGCTCTTTCTTTGTGTAAATTATTCCTCTGC